CCGATCCTATTATATTATAATAGAATAATCAAAGTAATGTATAGAAAATAAATTGAATTAATATATGCGCATATTGTGTAAAATCGATATATGTAAAATATTTTTCCGTTTGTGCGCAAATAAAATCCAAAAATCAGAGAGAACTCGACGAAATTGTCAAGGGACAAAAGTCGGCGATCGTTTTAAGATTTATTTATTTAACGCAAAGTTAGACGCTACAACTTTGGTACAAAAACATAAAATAGTGGCGTTAAGAGGAAACGATACACTGCGAGCGGGTCCTCGAGTCTCTCCGCAAACACGGAGGATGATGTTGCGCGCGTTTTCTTCTTTGCTTTTTTTTCCAATTATTAGACAATACACCGCGATCCCGCTTCTGTTTCACGGGTGCAGGGATAAAAAAAAAAGGAACGCAAAGGAAACGCTTCGAGTCTGACAGGCGACGATGAGAAGGGTACGAGCTCGAAGAACCGCGTTCGCCGTCGTATAAAAAGAACAGCCAAATGCTTTCAACGCATATATCAATCAAGCATACACAAGCGAGCGACACGCTTCGCGGCGTCTCTCAAAAAGTAACATCGAATCCTGCAAAGAATTACCACACAATATACGCGTCGATGACGCGACGAGCGAACGATGGACTCGAGGATGCTTGGCAAGAAGAGCACACATAAGTGGCAAATGTATTAATTTTACAATATACGATGCTAGAATGTGTGAAAAAATATAAAGCAAACATACGAGCGAGAAGTGAATAAAATGATATGTGGACGTAAATTCTCAGTCTTTAAGTTGTATTACTCGTTATCAATGTTTTCAGCTGAGAAAACAATCAATGTTTAATCGAAATTCAATTTATTATTACTGATCATCGCTAAATGTTTCATTTACAACACTTCTTGCCAAGCACCCTGGACCGCTTAACATAACACCTGTTATCACCTGTGCGACGTCGCGGACGTCCACTTCGCTTATAAGACAAAACGATGGGCCGCGACCAAAATAACGCGCGGACGTGATCACATCACTATATACGAATGCATTAATATCATTATCATCATCGGCCTGTGCCGATGTATTAGCTCTGGTTAAATTCGGAAGCGATTCGAAGCGACAAAGTTTTTCGCGGGGACGAGTTAAGTGAGATAGAGAACGTGATACTATATAAGTCGTAAAAGGTGACTTGGGACGATACAGCTACGTTAATTACGGTAAGAGCGCGATCGTAACATATACACGAGACACGAGGCTTTTGCGCAGCCTTTTAAAATCACATCGATGAGTAAAAGTGCGTCGGCGTGTCGAGCCGCGGCCAGTTTAAGAGAGGCAGAGGGTAGGAATTCCTCTGCGAAAGCAGAGGCGACTCATGAGGACGAAGCACCCCTTCAAGTTCTATTCGACCGCAAAAATTCTTCGGGCATGTTTTTACTTTTAATCTCATTTATGTAAAGAAGAAATGAGATGATAATAATGAATGATGAATGATGACAGTATCATTTACAACTTACAAATTGAATTAACATTAAAATGCATCGAGAGTACCAGAATATTAATATCTCTTGTATCTCTCCAATTAATAATTAAATAAATCTAATAAATTGAATAATAATTTAATTAATGCTAAAATAATAGCGAAAACATAACGGCCCGAATTAGATATAGTAAAAAAGCTTTAACTCTCGCGTGACAGATATTTCTCGAGGGTGCTCCTTCGCCCAGTCGCCCAACTGGGAGTCGGCTCGTGCATCGTCTCGGCAAACAAATGCGACACCTAGAAATAGCTACTTACAACGTATGTATAATATATAATTAGCGTATATATAATATATATTTATATTTGTATGTATAGATATATCTAGAAATAGTATCGTGATAAAAACGAACTATGAGACGCGGCATCGCTATCGCGGCGTCGCGGGATGTCGGGATGCACAACCTGAAGATGCAAGGAAAGCATCCGTTCCGTTCGTTCGTCGAAGATCCAGCGAAGATCAGCCACCTGATCGTGGTCCCTTCGATTCGCGTTTAAGGAAACGATCCGTCCCGACTTCTCGCCTCGTCGCAAAGATACAACGACGCCTTCTCGCGACCATCCGTCCGGCTTACGAGCTATCTACGTTAAATCAGCTTTTATATTACTCGAATCGCTTATATCTGTTAACGATCATCGTCGCGATATCAGAATGAATCTTATCGGTACGTCGTAATCGATCGAAGAAGATTAGCACGGGGGGGATTAATTAGATGTTTACAGCGGACTAAATATTTATCTCATATATAGGACGACAGCAAGTGTAGTGTATTGCGTGCACACGCACCAGCGCGTGTATGTGAGGATAATGTTGTTAATGTATAATATTTTTAATTTATATGTGGCTGGCCTGCTGTGTATAGAAGCGTGTTCCCTCGATGGCTTGCCGCGTTGTTCTTCCTACGGACAGTCGATCGGCGTTTTGTATAATCTTATCCTTCGAGCGAGCGATAGGAATATCTCGTATCGATCGTCTAAATGAATCGCTAATAAAAAGGACGACGACGACAATGACGAAAGACGAGAAGCGACGACGTACCCTATAAACTTTGCTCTCCGCGACGTCGAGACTCAAGATTGCCGATTGTCAAAGGGGACAGAGGGGGCAGAGAGGAAAAGGGGACACAACCTTCGTTACGAAATTATAAATCGTACAGTATATGTATATAGTATATGTACGTATGTATGTTTATATATCTCGTACGCCCGCAGGGAGCGGCAGTGTGGCACAACCATGACTCAAAAAGCGACCAACTAATCTCATATGTGTGTGAGTGTATATGTGTATATATCATATATACCTTTTTCTCCTCATTATACGCAACTCCTGTGACGACTGTAGTCTAGAATTATACCCCGGATATATATCAGAAGACCCCCGTTAAATCCATCGTCGCCGAGAGCACTATCATCCGGGCCGCGTCTCTGCCGCGGTTGGGCGTCCGCGAACACGCGACTTCCGGTTGTGTGCTCGCTTTCCTACAGGACTGCCTCACAGCGACAGCTGCGAGCCTCGAACCCCTCGTACACGTTCGACGACAGTGCGGAGAAAAATTCAAAGTCTCTTTCTTAATCGAAATATTTCATACAAAATACACAAAGATAATTAATTCATAAGTTTATATCACATCGAGTATCTTTAAATCACATCTCACGTTGAGTCAGGGATGCGTACCATCGAGGAAGATTCGTGTCTAAACGCAAATTTTGCCTTTAAAAATATTTTAGTCGACATAATTGAACGTGTACAAAGAGTTTCAAGACTCGCAAGACTTGCGAACGAAATATGACTGATCTTACGAATCGCTGTGCCTCCTTCGCGAAAAGGCAGTAGATACAGACAGTCTTAAGTCTGGCCTTCCTAGATGTGCGTAATCGATTGAACGGTTCGAAAAATCGTATCAAAAACAAGGCAGTTTCAAAGTTGGCCTTCCCCAGGATTAATTGTAAACGAATGTACTCGAGGAAGTACAAGGAAAAACTGGAAGGCCGAAATGTTTGTGATAGAAAAAGGAGGATCGCGCGCGTCGCAATTTGGTCGAAAGAACGAAGGAGGCAATCTCATTTCGCAAGGCGGACCGCAGATTTTTGTCGGTAGTCACGATCTCGAGATGGTATCAACATGCGTACACCTTACACGGTAATCGAATCTATCTACTCGCGACGACGTCTAATTTCTATCGTAAATCGTTGCAAATTGGACCGACGACAGCACCGGGGGAAGAATTAGCGTACGCTTCATTTCCGCGTCTCTCGGCTGCTTTCCTCGCGGCCGCCGGCTATCGAGAGAGGCGGAAGATCACGGAAGATGATGATTTACAGGTTACACTGCCACAGTATCGTAGGGTGTGAGGAGTCCCCCGTGACCGCCGTGGGGGCTGCCGGTTTGCCGGCCGGGAGCTTCGTTTCTGCAACAGGAATTTGCATTTTTCACATCCGACCACACCGATTCTCTCCACGCAACTTTAACATTCTCGCGTGCAGATATCTTTTTCCTAATTTTGATACGCTTATTTTTAACATTAAAAAAAAACAGAAGCATTGCTTTGATTACTAGCAACTCTTATTTTGCGAATGGAGAATCTGTTTAATATAGCAATAGCAGAAATTAATATAAGAAATCTGCATGCGAATTAATACGACGAAAACATGCGTTATAACAATAGCAAGAGCAGCGATGATAGCAACGATGTTAATTATAATTATGCCATGAATAAATAAAATTTTCAGATAACGATCGTAGAAAGACGCATATCAATCGTTAGTAGCGTTATTATCAACTGGTAAAGCGGATTTAGTAGCGGTGATAATAACAAGCTATTGCATATTAATAACTGCAGTGGAAATATGATTAGCATTCGAAACTTATGTATATCTCTACCGTATTTTGCTTTCGAATTAATTACATTAGCTACACGTTATACATAGCACTATTCAAAGCTACATGCAAACACATGTTGTATTAGTAAGCGTTCTCGATTGGAGACATGTCCGTAAGCAACGCTTTGAAGGGTCGTCTACTCTGCTCGCCACAAAACAAATCAGATAGCCGAATTTCGATGGGATGATGAAAATCAGCGGAAAATGGTATGAACGCATCTCAAAAGCTCTTCACATATCTTTAACGTTTGTACACCCTGATTTGATTATGTTTAACGAACTTACGGTTTCCTGCGTAATTAGTCATGAAACAAGAAAAGATCAGATGAATGTTAAATGATTAAATAATGAAATATTCGAGGGTCTCTTCGAAAGTCGCTAGTGAACCACCGCGCACTCGATACCATCGTTACCGATAATTGAATCGCGTGCGAATAAACTCGAGTATCCGAATAAAGGTATACGTCGAGGATTAAAAGGATCGATCGGTAGCGTAATCCTATAAGAAAGAACGAATAGAGATGAATCGGATAGCGGTCGAAGCCGCAACGAGCGACAGTGAAACGGCGCTCAATTCGGAAAACATATCGCGTCATATTTTTTCGCAATAATATCGTTAATACACTGCTCTCGTGTGAAAATGGAATCGCTCGAGATACAGCGGCAGGAACGGTGTAATCGTCATTAAAGTGTTCACACCGTTAACTAAGCTCACTCGCGCTCTACTGACCTCTCTATGAGTTTACGCATCTCCTCGGTGGTCATGCCGTCCTTGCCGCGAGCATTCACTGAAATAGAAAAACACACGGCACGATTGACACAACGATTAAACTACTACGACAACACGTAGCATGCAATTCGTGGAAGCTATATAAATGATTAGAATAAAAAAAAAATAGAGAAAAACACATATAGTCCACGCGGCGAGTCTTCTCCATTCACGACTCGCTCGCCATGCGATACGATCCGCATAATGCGAGCCGTCGTACGCCTAATAATGCCTAGTGCATATGAAAACGAGCATCAGTAGGAGGTAGGGCTGAATCGGAGCGAGATCGTTTCTCAAAAGAGAGCATGTCGCCGGATTAAATAAGATCCGAACAGGAAAGACGAATCTTCTCGACTTCCCCATCGGATCGCATCGAGTCCCAGCTTCATGATCTCTCTCATTCTTCTCGTTCTCCGATCTATCCCACGAATCTTTCTACTGACCGCCGTAGTTGCGGTTGACAAGCTGGTCACGATCGCACTCTGCCTCGCTGATCTCATTGCTCTCTTTGCTGTCGTTGAAGCTGGAATTGTTCTGATCCTGGTGGTTTCTCGGTGGTGGTGGGGGTGGTTCCGGCGAACCGGAAATGGGAATATTGCGAGCCGAGCCTACGCTACGACGTCCGACCGATCCGCGGGATCCGTAATGATCGTAAGGTGCGCCGTATTGTCCGTACTGCGATCCGTACTGGTCTTCCTCGGGAGCGCAATTAGCCGGATCATCGTATTCGGGCGAGAAAACGTTGTGAGTGCCGCTGCCGCCTCCTTGAGATGGTACTCGTGAATAACGGCCATTTTGACGCGGCTGTGGAAAAAAATTAGCCACGATTTTAGCAATAATTGTTGATAGAAAGAATATAATTTATAAAGTAAAAATTGTTTTTAAAAAATATATATAAAACAATCAAAAACTCATTTATATTGTTTAATTAAATATGCATATGAAAAAGATTTAAGGTACCATAGATTGAGATCCAGAACGGCTGTGAGCAGAAGCGTTAGTCGGATGTCCTACAGGTGGTCCCATGGTGCCAGAATGGCCGTTTCCTGGATGGGGGAAGGTCTGGAACTGCATAGCCTTGCTCGGATCCATTTCCTCGCGGAATCCCAAAAGATGGAACGTAGCATACGGGCAGATCTCATCCTCCATACCTGCAAATAGGTAATCAACCAGGGTAGACTCTGCCGCTATGGGCTAATAAAATCTACGAAACATTTGTGATTTGTTGAACGATAAAGATTGCTTGAAAGATTGCTTCTTGTGTGTAAAGTCCATTATGACAATTTTCTTGAGTTTAACTTGATTGGAAATGGAAACGAAAAAAATTGTAAGCAATCTTTTCCTCTATTGATTTTATGTGCTACTTCTATTCAGATTTAAACGAGCAAAAAAAGTTTTTTACTCACTTTTACGTTTCTTCTTTCCTCGATTCTCATTCTACGTTAAATTATTCAATTTTCAATAACTCCTCATGCGTATTAAAAATATATTTAAATAAATTTGCTTCAGATTGACGCCCAGTCGTCTTATCAATTAATTACGTAATTTCTGTTATATATAAAACAAGGCTATTTTTTAATTAATTAATCGTCGTAATTTTGTGTATTTATTTTATCTAAATTTTATAATAAATCTAATCTCTCTGAATAAAATATATAAATAATTTTCAAAAATATTAATAACACTTTTTATTCATTCTAGAAATCTGAAATCGATATGACGATAACGGGCACAGAGGATTTTTATCGTAGACTTTTTGTCTCAGAAAGACACTGAGTGTAAATAAATATAATTATTCTCTATGTGGTTCGTGTCATTTGTCGGCGTGCTATGAGCGCAGGCATGCGAAAACGTGCAACATCGAGAAACATGTCGTTAAAGTGACACGAGATTTATGGAGTTTCAGGGAGGACTTACGAAGACCGCCAGCAACATCGCCGGCTCCGGCCTGCGATTATTGATCTTGTAGGGCGATCGGACAAATGCCGGACGCCCTCGTTAATCAAAAATGCTCTTTTACCAACCTCTATGCGAGAGACCGTCTGCGCTGCCCATACGTGGTGGCGGCGGGCATCTTCTGTTGGGCGCGTAGTGACTCAATTCCTCATACATGTGCCGTCTCGGGTCCCACGTCGAGTGACTCCTTAACGAGCCAGTTCCACCTATCGAACACATACTACAAAGGTCGTACGACACGCTGGCGCCTATCAAGATTCCTGCCAACTGATCAACTTTGTTCTCTTCAAAGGACTGGAGATTCTGGGGAGGGCATTCCTTTTTCTCTCTTTTTTAAAGGCACGATTAATATATACGAATCGGTGCAGTCGACACTCGTTAGGCACCAACGGCGTGGTAAGCGCAAACAAATAAAAACGAACGTTATATTCGCTGGAGGGACATATACATCTCGACATAACGTATATCAGAACATTTGGAAGCGAGAGGCGAAAGAAAAAAAAACTGGCAATGTATGGTCATGTGTGTATGGCTTCTGTCTGGTCTGAGGGCTGTGTAACATTGGTCGGGAGTCTAACGATGTATAATATATGCGAAAAAATGTGTATTTCTTGAGAAAAGATGAAAGAAGGAACTATCGTGCCGATGCGACAACAACTACACAAGTAGTAGTCGAAACTGGTCTAAAAGGTAAGTGTTGGCAGTTGTGGCTTACTTATAACTGTACCTCGCTTGATACGATCGCATGTGTTATAGTTGGAGCCGGGTACAGGTGGTAGCTTGCGATTCGGTGGTGCGATATATCCTAGTTCGTCACGAAGATCGGATCTGCGTTTATCTAGAGTTGCGCCGCCAACACCGGTTTGCTGATAGACTACGTCATCTATAATACAGTGAACACGCAATCTGGTAAAGTAAACGTACGTATGTCTTAATATAATACTTTTCATATTATTGTTAGTTAATATACATTTATTATGCCATCACCCACGCTTGATAAAACAAAAGGAAGAGGAAAATTAAGGTGATTGAAATAAAAGAAAGAGAAAAATTAAGCGAGCGGAATGTTTTGAGGAGACTGCAAGACAGGGTGGCCGACGCGTGGATCAATCGTCGGGAAATTATTATGTTAATTTTACAAAATAGTATATTGTTACGCTATAATATCTGTATATAGATTATTGTATTTAGTTACGCTTGTAAGATTATTAGCGCAATTTTATTTCCCGACGAATGTCCACCGTCTTTATGCGACTTAACAGGTAAAAGTAATAAAAAAAAATTTGTATACATTGTCCCTCGTAATATTTCTCGTCGGCTGAAGAGATACCTCGCAGCCGCGTTTGTTCCGGACCTCGAGTTCTCCTCGAGAGAGCCACGCAAATGACAACTATTCCTACTATTATTACAACGACCGTCGCGCCGACCGGCACCACTACGTTTACGTCGAGCCAGCTGGGTAACCACGGGAAATAACGTCTTACATCCGCAGCGTTGTCGTTACCGCCGTTACGTACGGGAGGTGCGATCGTGCCTGTTTGAGAGAAGAAATGGAACGAAAAAAATTAGATGGATGCCGTTACCTTTATCGCTACCGTGGCCCTTTCCTCTGAGTACGCAAATCACGATGACGGCAACGATTATAACGAGAATAGCTGCTACCACCGGCACGACCAGATTTAAATTAGCCATAAAAATTTTCATCGGGTCTTCGTCGTTGCCACCATCGTTCACATCCGGTATCTCGCGGGCCGGTGCAATGGTGCCTGGAACAAAAAATGTTTCGGCCTTAATCCAGCCACCATTGGCACCGGCTACGAGGCGCCGCTGCGAACGTCAGACAGACTCATACTCACCGCCAGTCACCGTCAATGTCGCAAATTCGTACTCGGCTACGGCGAAACCGGCATTATTGTGAGCCGTAACGCGTAAATGATACCAAGTAGCGGGATCCAGATCCAATACCACGAAGTTACTGCCCGGCTTGACGTTGTTCGAGACCTGATTCCATTCCTGTTGATGCCTGAAGAAACATTCGCTTTTAACTATCGATTTCTATCAAACCGTGTGTAATTCCCGAGAATTTTATTTCTTTATCTTACTTCTTTTTGTGCTCAAGTACGAAGTATAACATGGGACAGCCACCATCCGACCAGGCGCTCAAGTGCAGAGTGATGCTGTTCGTGGATACTTCGATAAATCTCGCCGCTTCGGGGATGATCGGTTTGGAGCCCTTTGTGCGCGTGTTTAAGATATCCGAAGGATCGCCAATTCCAATTCTGTAAATTGTCATTGTCGTGTATAAAATTTCTTATCGCACACTTATTAATTAATTACAGTTTTAATGATAAGTTACCCGTTATAAGCCGTGACATAGATCTGATATCGAGAACCGCACCACAGATTTTCAAGAGTGTATTTTTGTGCCGTGGAACTGATCTGAACAGTTTCCCAGTCGCCAAACTCGGGTTTGTAGTGAATTGTATAGCCGTGAATCGGAGCATTGTCGGTCGGATGCGGGCGCAATTTCATCGTCAAAGAATTTGTAGTGGTGGCAGTAAGTGTGACCTGCGGTGAGTGCGGAGGAGCTGCAAACATAATGTTAAACTTAGTATAATCAACAGAGCTAAAATTAACAGACAAAATTTTCGGAATATTCAGTACCGTGTACGACCAATTGATGAGTCACAGTATCGTGTCCAAATGAGTTTTCTACGTAGCAAGAATATTCCCCGGCATCCGCGCGATCAACTTCCTTGATAAACAGTGATCCTTCGGGTAATTGTCTTAATCGGTCGCTCGGTTGAAGAGTCGCGCCTCGTACTTTCCATGTTACTTCTGGTGCGGGCACGCCAACGGTGAGACACGGCAGTTTTACGTCTTCCTTGTATGTCGCGGTGAACTTGTCGTCGAATGATGCGATCTTGGCTGGTACTATAAAAATACGCGTTAAATATAAAGATTAGAAACAGTTTTTAATTTATGATCACATGTGAAAAATTATAATTAAGGTACGAATTTAATTTAATTTTATTTAACTAAAATACGAAATATTTTAAGTAAATTAAGAAGTAAAAATTACCTCGAACGCTTGGGCTCAGAGTCACAATCTTAGAAGCTTCACCTTCGCCGATATTTGTGCTAGCAGTTACCCAAAATTCATATCTGAGTTGTTTATCTAATCCAGATGCTTCATGAGTGAGTTGATTTGGCGGTACTTTTTGGCTAGTTGCTTCCTCGGCATTGTCAGCTTTTGTATAAACGGTATACTGAGAAATAACTCCGTTAGGCTGGCTAGGTGGTCGCCACGAGATAAGAATGGATTCCGCGGACATGACCAGAGCTTTGATAGCGATTGGAGCTTCGGGTGCTGAGAAAATTTATTAAAAATAATTTTATTTGCTGAAAATAATTATCGCATTTACAATTATTTTTTTATTGTCGTAAAAGCAGCAACAACTTTGTTGCTTTTATGACAATAAGAAAATAATTGTCGATATAAAAAAATATAGAAATCGTCGCATGGTTGCTATTGTATTTTTAAATGCGAAAGATATATTATATATTCGAACAAATATGCTTTTGCACACGAGTTGAGTAGTTTTTAAAATTACCATCTTGTTCGGTCTGGCAATGAATCGGTGCGGACTTGACGCCATCTCCGCCGGAAGTGAAAGCCAAAACTTGCATACTGTAGTTCGTGTACTTCTTGAGGCCGTGCAGGATAGTTTCGCTGGAAGACGTGATCTTAGTATCCTTCGTATTTTCATCGTACCACGTGTCAGACGGACCATAGATAACCTGAAACAAATATTTAAAGACATCGCTGCTAAATATCTACTCTTCTCGAATCGCGTCTTCACTAACTTTGTAGCCAGTGATAACACCGTTAGCCGCGCTGAGAGGTGGTGACATCCAGGATACTCTGATAGTTTGAGAGGTGAGAGTCGTGCAAGTGGTATCATGCGGCGGTTGCTCGGGTACGCCTTCCGCGGTGTGCTGTCTGCGTTCTTCACTCATCGGTCCGGAGCCGACCTTGTTGAATGCCTGAACGACCACGCCGTATTGCGTATAGGTTTTGAGATTAACGATCTGCAGGTGATGATGTTCCTTTCCGTCTTCCTTGGAGAACTCGACAGTTTCAAACATGTACGGTTTATCCGCTGATTGTCTGTATCCAACGTAGTAGCCAAGAATTTCGCCGTTCCAATCCTCGCGTGGAGGCGGTTTCCATGTTACCTGACAAAATATTTTTTGCAATAAATGTTTATTGTTGTCGTTACGCATTCTGAAGCGGTTATAACGCATTCGATCGTTCGATTGATCGTTACCTTGAGAGTATGCTGATCAAGAGTGTCGACCTTGACTGAGGTTGGCGGACCAGTGGGTGCCTCTTCGGCGGTAATAATGGTGACCATGTCAGACGGATCGGACGTGCCAATTTCATTTTCAGCGACGATTCGAAGATGATATGTAGTTGCGGGTCTTAGATTATATACTCCAGCTACATTCTGTTGCGAACCAGGTACGAGCACCCTGTCGATATCAGTTTCCCAGGAACCTTTGCTGATCTTGTATTCAATGACATATCGCTTAATAGGGCTGTTTCCGTCATAAGGTGCGGCCCATGATAATTGCACTGAACGTCCTGATTTATCCAACACCTTGAGACCGTATGGAACTTCCGGCACCTCTATAAAAAATTATAGAAGTAATATTTAAGTACTTCGTCGAGCATCTGTTGATATTACATTACTCATAATCAAGTGAACCAACCTTGTACGATCATGTTAATACTAGTATCATCGCTGCCAAAGGCGTTCGTCGCTACGCAAGTAAATAAGGCAGAATCGCTTCTCTCGGTTCGTTTGATACTCAAGTCGGACAATACTCCATTTGCTAAGATTTCTTCACGAATAGTGTAACGAGGATCGCTCTTTGTGTCTAACCTTTTGTTATTCATATTCCATAAAATGCCAATTGGTTTCTCTCCCTGCGCCTCGCATTGCAATACAGCCGGTTCTCCGCGACGAGCGGTCTGATTTCTTAATTTAATCTCAAATTGAGGAGGAGCTAAAAAAAAGATGTTGAAGAATAACAGTATACAAAACGTAAACAGTATATTGAATACTGTTAAAAGATGTAAGAATGCGTAAAGTACCTTGGACCGAAATGAGAATGACAGCCGATAGGCCTGATCCAATGCCGTTAACAGCCTCGCAAAGATAATAGCCTTCGTTTGTCTTTTGGATGTTATTAATGGACAGAGTACCATCTTCTACACTAATATCAGGATTGCTCAATTTCAAGTCAGTGTAATCACCCGGCGTATCCCCTGTAAAATAGAACAAACATAATTAATACACTTGAAAAGTTCTTTATATTTGTTAAGCTGCGACTGCAAACGCACTCACCAGCAGCTCTCTTCCATGTGACTTGAGGCTTGGGGAATCCGTCGGCTTTACATTCGACTCGCGCATCAGAACCCTGAGCGAATGCCTTATCAGTGGGCTCCAGAATCCAACGAGGAGGTACTGTTACAGAATAAACAGATTAGTCGCATTGCACTAATCGAGCAACACGAAATTTTGCAGTATCCAGGAGCCAGTCGCTTGTGAAAACTCGAGTCGTCTATTCTTGAAAAATCAAGTTATTGTTTATCGTAATAATATTTTTATGTAAACTGCAATCAAACATTACAATTATATTGATTTTAATTTTATCGCTCTTTTTTTAAAATTTCATAAAATATAAAATATTAATAGTAAAGAGAGTTAAATATCTAGATTCAACGAGAAAACTTGAAATTTGTGAAATCAGAAAGTTTTGTTTGTTCGAAAAAAGTTAATAAAATTGTTCATTAAAAGTTACATATTTTTGATATTGTTTAAAATCGACGAGAACTCGAAAAAAAATTAGTTTTGTCGCGTGCAGGACAAAACGCGACACGCTCCCGCTACTGCGGTGAATAGAGTATCGTATAGCATGCGGGATTCTGAATTATACGGGTATCTAATGCATGAAGAGAAAGAGAGAAAGAGAGACGTGATGCGGGTAGAGAGAAAGACTACGGATCCTCTGAAAGAATTCAATGACAAACATGCACGAAGCGCTATTAAATTTTTACTCGAGCATAGTGCATCATGCTGTACCGCGTTAACGAATAATATACTCGATATTATGCTCGTTCAAGTATAAATGCATGCATATTAAATGTGTCTCTACTAAGCTACATACGCGTCTACAAAATGAACAAGGCAAGACGTGTGGTGAGGTGGCGAGGGGGCGAGGAGAGAGAACGTGTTGGGGAAATTCATTCGTGGATAGGGCTATGAATTTATCCAGGGGTGAGAATTCTGAGATGCGGCTGGTTGGATGGTCGGTCGGTCATCTTAGAACAAGGACGCGTTTTAGCGCGATGGGGGTACGGTGAGGTATAAATCGACACTCGAATATAACGAGACGAATATAATATGCAACTCGGATGTGTCAGACCTATGCAATTCTGCGATCGCAAAGTAGCAATTAGATTCGTTTGTGCTACCGGAATGGCGAACGCGTTCATGAAGGATGTAGAAAACGCGACGAGACTCGCGTGCGAAAGGAAAATACATCCTGAGCATCGCGTTATTTCGCCACAGGGATGATCGAAGCCAACGTAAAAAGTCGCAGAAGAACGGCTGAAGATGAGAGCAAGATAACGAGGCGGGCAAAATAAACGAGGAAAGGCCAACGGCTCGGAATAAACTATTGATTTTTGGACCACGAAGGGCTTTGGATTGATCTTCGCTCGCTTGAAAAAACCGACGAATACGTAGTAAAGAGGAGAGAATTACAACAGATAAAAATAAACGTAGATAGAGACAAGAGGCAAGAAAGAGACAGAGAGACAAAGAGTATGAAAAGAAAGTGGCAAGACAGTGAGAGAGAAAGGAAAAGAGTACGCGCGAGAAGGTCGGCAACGGCGACGAAAGCAACGCGCTGCGTTATAAGTTGAGTTGTAGAGCGAGCGCCGAACCAACTGAAATTTTCAGAAAAGCTTTTCGCCAACAGGGAAAAACACACGATCAGCTTTACAGCAACGATGAATAAGATGCAATCCAATCACAAGCCTGCGCTCATATAATACTTTCGCGGAATCTGCGCACGGCTGCATTTTCATTCCAAAACTTTTGCTCAACCATCATTATCAATTATCATTATCGTGTCATTCTCAGTGCTCCGTTCTTTTTTCAGGACCTAACCATGGACTCGTAAGGTTGCCTCGTGGACCGTCTTGCCTGACGGATTACTAGCGACACACGCATAATGTCCGTCGTGCTCCGGTGTTACCGGCTCGATCAGTAGTATACTCGTCCGTGGGCCGAGTTTCCCGATGTTGTATCCCATGTACTGCGACAACGATTCGCCTTCGTAGGTCCAGACAATCTCGATCGGCGTGTCGCCGACAGGCACCATGCATGCCAATTGGGCGGCCTGCCCGGCAAAGATCGGTTGATCTCCAAAATCGAACGGACTGATCCGTGGCAGGACTGCAACGGAACGGTAGGTAGATCCATGCTTTCATAATGATTCTTCTCTTTGAATCCTTCGCGATCAATGTTGAATGATCGCATCGATCGTTATCTGCGTGCTCATTCTTTGTACGTAATATACTCGTCTGTTTAAGAATCTAACGTTGCCTTTCCTCTTTGTTTTAGACGCCGTCGTTTTCTGTATGACGCGTTATTTACGTTCGTAAATAATCGATGATACTGAATTAATTATATGGGATAATCAAGATTAACTCTTTAATGGAGTTGATTCCTGACTAATGCGGTATTATTTCGATAATCGAGTAATCGAGATGAGAGAAGGGATTCGGAGTGACAGAGAATGTGACAGAGAGTGAGAGACAGTTCTGGACCGGGAAATAACGGGAAACACGGCTCGTCTTATAATATCGACGGTTTGTACTCGATTCGAACGATCGTGGGCACAAACTACGTACGCCTATGCGAACCAGTTAAACGATTTTAACTCGTTACAAGAAAGACAATTCTCTATAGATAGAAGGAAAGAGTATACGCCGAGCAATGCAAGACTTCCAGACAACACATATCTCGCGTAATAATATCATCGCAACAGTCAGGGCGGACAGAGAGATTGGAGATTTTACGACGTATATGAAAGCGGCAGCAAGGGTAACAAATCTAACATATCGAAAAACGTTCTACTGAGATATATATTGGATAAATATATATATATATAAATATAAATCTACAACCGAATAAAAAGGTAAACGTACCACTGCTTTCCGCTCAAATAGTTATACGCATACAAAACGGTAGTACTCTCACTACGCGTACGCCCGTTAAACACCATCATCATGCCGCGCGGTTTCGCTTTATGTTAAAGAAAATATATGTGTATACTTTATATTTTATAATATCTTTTTTCTGTTTTATACTGGATGCTTTTGTGATCGTGTGTGTTTACGCTTTCTCTGTACCGTTCACTTTGAGATGGGCGCTGTGCCGTGCACTGCCCGCTGGATTATCGGCGACGCAAGCATACTCTCCGGCGTGCTCTCCCCTGACAGCGGGTATCGTCAGGGCCGAGACTCTATCCCCCAACGCGGTGATACCCACTCCGTCGCCTACCTCTAAGTGGCGGCCCTCGAACAACCACTTGAGCGAAATCGGCGTATCCCCCTTCACGACCGCGCAATGGACGATTATCAGATCGCCGGAGTTGGCCTCGTCGAACGCGAACGGCTGCAGATGTGGAGTGACTGCCGAGAGATAGAGAACGGACAGAGGCTAGAGACAACAGGCAATAATACACCGAGAGAGAGAGAAAGAGAAAAAGAAAGAAAGAAAGAGAAAGACACGCGAGCGAGAATGAATGTTCCCGCTTATCGAGGCAGATAAGCCGCGCGATATCTAGCGCGATTAGCCCGATCCCTGTAACAGCCTGCTCTCGTGCCTGATCGCGTCCGCAAAAATAGGCGATCGCGATTAAACTTCATTATACGGGGATCGATAAGAGCGCAATGGATATTTGAGCGGAAATCGATTTCGATAAAATGACAAATGTCTACGGGAGAAGCGGTGATCTAGGATAAAGGAGGGATGAGAAATCGGATAGGCGAATTCGCAAGGCTCAACGAAATATCGAGTAGATCCTTGCTGATCAGTATGCACCGTTCACAATGAGATCGGCCGAGAGCTCGTGCCTGCCGGCAAGGTTTTCCGCGACACATGTGTATGTTCCAGCGTGGGTCGCCTGGACGGATCCTATGCTCAGTATAGCGCCGCGTCCGCCCAGATCCACGATCGAGATCCCAGAGTGCGGCGAGATCGCATGACCGTTTAAGGTCCAACGAAGCTTCAAAGGTGGATCGCCCTCGACCACTGCACACGGTACCGTTACTACTTGACCCGAGTTAAGCGGCTCCTCGCCGAAAGCGAATGGCAATAATTTCGGAATGACTGGAAGAGAGAAAAAGAGATCAGAGAAGGAGAGAAAGAGTCATCGAAGCCGCAGACTAAATCAACGTTGATGAAACAGCACGGTTTAAAGGGTAGAAGATAGAAAGACGTATTATCCTCTTCTTTCTTCATTTCTTCTTGCTTCCCCCTTGCTTTACGATCTGTATTATGGCGAGTGTGTCGTTTATTTTGTAGTGTATTTTCGCTATATATTTCGCGATGCTAATCAACAACAAAATTAATAAAAAGAGAACATATATATAACCAAGAAGATCGAGAAATGTCACGTCCAATAATAACATTTGTAGGTTGCTAAAGTAATAATAGCGGACGCTAGAGAACACAGACACACGCCGTGCTATGAAAAGCGAGGAAACGGATTGCAGAGAAACTTAGAGGAAAAGTAACGACGTGGAATAGAAATATAAAATTAAAAAATAAGATTGAAAGAGAGAGAAACTTACAAAAAAAAATAGGTCTCTAAAGGACGGAAAGGATTAATTTCGGATGAGAAAAATAGCTAAATATGCAAATGCGAATCGCGAGCATAGATTTGTCGAAAGGTGTACCATTCACGTCCAAGGTGACCGAATGAGAAATTGATCCAGCCGCGTTTGAAGCAACACAGGTATACTCTCCAGCGTGTCGCGCAGCTACCGATTCGATGGTCAGTTGTTTGACGCGCTTTCCGCTATCAGACACGATCACATCGCTATGATAAGATTGTATGGGACGGCCGTCGAAGGTCCACGTGATCTCCACAGGAGAATCGCCTTTGGTCACAACGCACTGCACCGACACCAAGTCCCCGGCATTAACGGGCTCCTCGCCGAAGGAGATCGGTGCTATCTGTGGGGAGACTGCGATACGAACGCAAGATAAAGCAAGACTCGAAGAGAATAGAAAAACGACATGCGTTTTTATTTACGAAATCCGATGAATAGACACTTTTAAATATTTGGCGTCCAGAATCCAGAAGAATGACAAACGAGCGATTTCTTTTCGAAGTAACGTAAAACGTAAGAATAGACATAGCAAGGGGAATAAAATTGAAGGTAATTATATTTTTAATATGGATCTTCGAGGATAGATTTTGTTATAAGGATAGCTTTAGCAATTTATATTTATTGGAAAGGATAAAATTTTTAAAGTATTTTACGAGATAAAGAGCTGACGATGATACTACGTCTTAACATGCGATTTTTTAGTACCATTGACCGATAAAATGGCGGAACGGCTGACGGATCCGACCAGGTTGCTCGCGACGCAGCTATATTCGCCAGCATGACGGGCGGTGACGGATTCAATAGTCAGAACAGATGTCTTTTTCCCAGTATTTGTAATTGTTATGTCAAGATGAGTGAGACGCGTAATAAGTTCGCCATTCAAACTCCATCGTATTTCAATCGGTAGATCGCCCTTCAAAATACTACAAACCGCAGAGACTTGCTCGCCCCAATTAACTGGTTCTTCGCTGATGGAAAATGGAGCGATCTGTGGAGCGACTGGAAAAACAATCGCAAAAAAATGATCACTATATCGCATATATAAACGATATGTAAACTCTTCGCGCGATCGGCGCAAGAATCATAGAATTATATACATTTTATTGAGCATACGTACTTTGCTTTCATAATCAATTTTTTGAGATGATCGATCAATCGATTGATTAGTTCTTCTTAGATATGTATTTTGTTCAGTAATTATATTCGTACGTGATCAATTGCCAATTATACCTCACTCGATAGGATAGTTTTAAAGGGATGCCGATGTTGTTGTTATTAACACGAGGAAAGGAAAACGATTTCGTCTAAGTATGCTTGCAGGCAGATTAGTGAGCTCAGTTTCTCGATCTCAGGGAGACATTTTGCTTCATGCAGTGCTGTACCATTTACGGCCAGAGTAGCGGAGTAGCTCGTTGCTCCGGCGGCGTTCGAGGCCGTGCAAGTGTATTCCCCGGCGTGTCTCGGGCTCGCGGCATCGATAGTTAATACACTGACTCGTTTGCTGGTACTTGAAATAGACACATCTGCGTAATTCTCTTTGGTGATGGGCTCGCCGTTCAGCGCCCACGATACGTCGATGGGCAAGTCGCCCTTCACGATTGTGCAGACCGCCGAGACCGCCTCGCCCCAATTTGCGGGCACGTCGCTGATCGAGAACGGCGCAATCTGCGGAGCGACTGAAAACGATATTTTCCAAGATGTGTCAAATCTGTTCACAGACTCATCAAATTCGAATCCCTTTGTGCCAACATCTGTCACGCGAGAAAAGCCGATGTAAAAATGCCTATCAGAAAATACTATTTGTTGGAAAATGTTGTTCTAATTTGCGTGAATTAATATTTCATTATTGCTTCACGCTCCTGCAAGTATATTTCTATTGCTATACTTATCTAATCTTGCTGCACATATTTTTTAAATAAACGATAAATAAAATTTCGAGTTTGAAAAAAATATTGTAATCAAGCGTGAGAAAATGTTCGTAGCATCGTTATCTCTTTAAGTCAACTTTATGCGACAAGATAGCGAGCTGCAAAATCTCCGCGGTCACAGTGAATACACGATGAGAAGCCAGACGACAGATAGACGCGTCCTCATCGTCCCCCGTACTCGACAAGACGTAAAAGAATGTTGAAAAGATTGTGAGCGTGGGTGAGGAGGAAGTTGAAGGGGATGATGAAAAGGAGGGCGTTTTGTCTTCTATGCCCGGCGGAGAAAGAATAGTCGCGAGACGAGATATCGCGTGTGTATGCATGCGCGCGTGTTACCGTTTACAGCTAGAGCGGCCGTATGACTGGAAGCCCCGGCTTTGTTCGACGCGGTGCAAGTGTACTCGCCGGCGTGTCTGGCCGCGACAGCATCGATCGACAGGACGCTGAGACGCTTGCCCTTCGTTATAGAGAATTGATCTGTGCTCTCGGCGGATATCGGCTCACCGTTGAAAGCCCAGGCAATGTCCATCGGGAAGTCCCCCTTGAGGATGGAGCAGGTCGCGGAGATTGCCTCGCCCGAGTTCACCGGCTCATCGCCGAATGTGAACGGGAAGATCTGCGGAGCAACTGCGATCGCGGATCGCGCGTGAGAAACAAAAACTCGATGAAACTTCCCTTCGCGAATTACGGTCCTCGCGGTCCTCGCGAAATCGATCGTCGGTAGTGATTACGGCGATCAGGAACAAAGGTATCGTATCGTGAGACAATGCGATGATGAGGGGTGGTTTACGATGAATTATGAATCGCAGTGATGGGTTAAGCAAGTGCTATACGACGTTTAGCTGACGTGCAGGTGTGCTTCTGGAGATAAGTAGGTACCGTTGACGGTGAGGGTCGTCGAATGGCTGACATTCCCGGCCTTGTTCGTAGCTACACACGTATACTCGCCCGCGTGCCTCGCGGCCACGGATTCAATGCTGAGAGCGTTCATATGTTTATTAATCCTCGTGATCGTGATATCCGAATCGTGCGGATTAATCGTATGGCCATTAAACTTCCAAGTGATCTTTATGGGAGAATCGCCTTTTGTAATAGAACACGTTACGGAAACCATGTCGCCCGAATTCGCCGGTCCATCGCTAATCGTGAAAGGCCCTATGTGCGGTGCAACTATAATATTATGATAACAAATGTCAGCTGATTTTCACAACCGTTAAATCTAAATTTATATAAAATAATAAGTTAGAAACCTCTTTATTATATATATGATACTTTATTATATATATAATAAAATATCACAACCTCCTGCTCCAGTAAAATTATTTTTTCAACGCGCAAATTGATGCTTTTTGATGATAATTGTTCCTAACATCGCTGAAATGAAAAGATAAGATATCGACGAAATTTTTCAATAGATTCTTTCTTTTTACACTTTTGCATGGATTAAGGAAATTGAAGGAAATCGTGGGAGTGATAAACCGCTCTGCACATGCACGATAGGGAAAAGTAAGAATAGCTATGCGAAACACAAGACGTGGGAAGACCTTTATACCGTTCACGGCAAGTGATGCGGAATAACTCGTTCCACCAGCAATGTTGCTAGCCGTGCAGGTATATTCTCCAGCATGGCGTGCCGTCACGGCATCGATCGTAAGCAGACTGACGCGCTTGCTGGTACTGACTATCGATATGTCAGAATGATCTCGAGAAATTGGCTCGCCGTTGAGTGCCCACCCGATCTGGATTGGGTGATCGCCCTTCAACACCGTGCAAGTTACCGTGATGGTGTCACCCCAATTCGCCGGTTCCTCGCCGATCACAAACGGCATGATTTCGGGGGCAACTATAGAAGTGTTTTAATTATAATTTTATTCTACTTTAATTTCAGCAAAAACTTTAAATGCGATTTCTCGTCAAATTCGCGTATATAAAATTTATATTTTATTCCTAAATTTAATATAATTTTAATACATTGTAAAATGTAATTTATACTTGAATTTTCGTCTTTTACGTTTCAGCCTGTCACTTTCGTTAGACGTGAAGGAACGTGATGGGATCTTTGGGAATAAGTATGTGAATAGTGTTAGCGTCAAGCTACATGAGAGAATGACTCATGCATGCACCAGAGAACGATAATGAGAGTTTTGAAGAACGTCGTATTGTACCATTGACGGCTAAGGAAGCGGAATAGCTCGTTCCACCGGCGGCGTTACTAGCTACACAAGTGTACTCTCCGGCGTGACTAGCCGTAACGGCGTCGATCGTGAGCAAGCTGACGCGTTTGCTGGTGACGATCGTTATATCGGAAAAATCGTGAGAGATCGGCTGACTGTTGAGCGCCCATTCGATCTGTATCGGCTGATCTCCCTTCAGAATGGTACACGTCGCCGTGACTGTTTCTCCCCAATTCGCTGGTTTCTCACTAAGTACGAACGGTGCTATCTCCGGAGCAACTAAAGTGGACAGATGATTGATCGTATAACACGACTAATCTACTGCGAATCATTGATGTAATATGGGCATGAATACGATAACACGTCTTTGCGATCTGATAGCGCCTTGAAGACCGCGATTGACCATCGATGATCTCAGATGAGACGGATAATGACGGATAATGACAGGCGATGACGGGATGCGGAGGTTCAAGAGCGAATGCACAGGAAATATCTCGGACGAGATGTACCGTTCACAGCTAAAATCGTTGAATGACTGGTCGCTCCCGCTTTATTCGATGCCGAACACGTATATTCTCCTGCGTGTCTCGCGGCGACGGACTCGATGCTGAGGATGCTATTCTTCCGCGTCGTTGCCAGGATATTAATGTCCGAACGATCTGGCCGGATCGGCTCGCCGTTCAACGCCCACGTGATCTCGATTGGTAAGTCACCCTTGAGAATGGCGCACACCACGGAAATAGAATCGCCCCAGTTCGCTGGTTCCTCGGCGATTTCAAACGGTGCGATTTGCGGTGCGACTGCAATGAGTTTTCTATTTGTTTCTCTTCCCTCTTTTTTTATTACTCTTTTACGTCAATCTTCTTGATAGTCCAATTATCTCGATGCGACAAGGCCAGAGAATTGAAGAAAAAAAGAAAATGAATGAAGATGTCGAAATAATTGCCGTTTGTCTTACATGTTCGATCGCATCCTCGCATTTTAATCGGGATGGAAAAGGAGAGGAAAATAGAAACGGAGTAATGTTTCAGAGCAAAACCGACATTCTTTTCTAACGTCTATTGTAGATACCGTTAACTGTCAATTCCGCGGAATAAGTGGTTGCACCAGCAGCATTGGAGGCAACGCAAGTGTAAATGCCCGCGTGACTCGGACTCGCAGAATCTATGGACAGCAGGCTATTCCTCTTGGTTGTGGTCACAGATATTCGATGATTTTCCTCGATAGGCATTCCATTCAACGCCCACGTGATTTCTAACGGGGAGTCTCCGTTGACCACCGTACAAACCACCGATACGGAATCGCCCCAATTCACCGCCTTGTCGGACATTTCAAAAGGAGCGATGCGCGGCGGTACTGTCACAGAAACACTATTTGATATCGAACCGGAAGCGGGATAAGTGAGACAATGCGTGAAAAAAAGAAGCTTGGAAATTATAGATCGTAGAAATATCAACCTCCCAAGATTTTTACAATTTTTTCTCAAGATGCAACTTGCTTGAAAGCATTCAAATATAGAAACTCTAACAACGAAATATATAATATAATTGGCGTATGTGTATATATATATATATATATATATATATATATATATATATATATATATATATATATATATATATATAGTATATATATATGTATATATATATATATATATATATATATATATATATATATATATATATATATAATTGATATTTTTTAAAGCAACTAGTTTAATTCAACTAGTGATAACGCGACTGTTGTCAGCTACATCTTAAAGCTGCGGCGCATTGACATACACACGCAATCTTTCCTGATGGTGCCACGAAGCGCTATAAGAGAAGCCCGGTGTGTTTCGTGCGTCCAACCAACCACCCAACCGTCATTGATTCAAACTGAACAAGCGTACCGTTCACCGACAGAACTGAAGAGTGGGTAGCGGTTCCGGCCGTGTTGCTCGCAGTGCACGAATACTCGCCCGCGTGTCTTGCGGCTACCGATTCAATCGTCAGTTGGCTGGCCCGTTTGCTACCCCTGCTTATCACTATATCGGAATTGTCGTAATTATGCTCGTCGAATGCGCCATTCGCGGTGTCGATCACACGCCCGTTAAACGACCAGATTATGTCGATGGGTAGATCGCCCTTTATTACGGCGCATTGAACGGTCGCCATCTCTCCTGCATTGGCTGCCTCATCACCGAAGGTGAAGGGCGCGAGTTGCGGTGCCACTGCAACCGCGAAGGGCACACTCGTAAAATATACGTCGAAACTTTCGAACATTCGCGGTAAGGGAACGTAGACGAACGAAATTCAGAACCAAACTGAACGACTCACAAAACAGTATTTGTGGATCTTCAGAGGAAAAATCAGGGAGGGAAATGGAGAAACGGTACTTTCACTAGAGGACATCGAACAACAATGTAACGATAAAGCGATACGGGAAAAGATTTAAATAAAAAGAAAAAAAAATATATATATATAACGTGAGCCATCGTTTCGCTGTCACTGCGGGATGGACCTTTGTCACTGGCTGTCGTCGTCTTCAACGATAATCTCGCTGCTTCGGAGTACTTTATCAGAGAGATTATCATCTCGACAACGACAGTAAGCACGAGCGGTGATTACTGAATCGATATTACTGCGAAGATATACAAGAAGTTACAAGAGAATGTGTACAGGTGTAAGGCAATAAATTTTTTTACATATACGAGAGCGCGGTACCGTTCACCGAGAGTACAGCGATGTGACTGTCGGATCCGGCGGCATTGGTCGCAGTACATTTGTATCTTCCAGCATGTCTCGCCGCTACGCTGTCGATGCTCAAGAAGCTGACCCTCTTATTGATCACAATATTAACATCCGGCCGACTCGAGTCGATCGGCATGTCGTCGAACATCCACGTCAATTTTACGGGAAAGTCGCCTTTGACGATCGTGCAAGAGACCGACAGCATCTCGCCGGAGTTGAGAGGATCATCACCGAAGGAAAATTGAAGGATCTGTGGTGCGACTGCGTAAACGACACCCAGCATAGAAGGAAGGGTGTGATGAGAGACAGAAAATGGCAAAAGGATAAATAATGGTATTTAATATACATATTTGAATATATGAAAATTTTCTTGCAGTTTTCTTAACATAACGAAAAGAAAGAAAAAATAAAAATGTTTATGTTAGTATATAATTTTGTTGAATCATTAGATTATTAGTAACATTTGTAACAGGAAATAATAATATTAATTATATAAATTTAGAATTGTTAAGTTACAGAGTTTTAAAATTATCAAATTATTAGTAATATTTGTAACAGGAAATAATAATAATTAATTTAAAAAATTATGTAAATGTTGGTGTAAATGAAAATTTGCATAGCCGTGTCTGTAAATGTTTAGTGATCAGCTACGATCGATAATCTGCTTGAAAGATATGTTAGGAAAACGAGGAAAACGATGCATGATAGAAATGGGCGAACATTCACTTCTTCCATGGAAATCGATTATATGTACCGTTTACAGCCAGATGAGCCGTGTGTGTCGTGGCACCAACGCGATTTGACGCAGTACAAGTATAATCACCGGCGTGTCTGGCCGCGACCGATTCGATAGTTAAAACGCTGTTCTTTCGATTCGTGCTGCCTATCACGACGTCGGAGTCGCGACTGTCGACCGACGTTCCGTTAAAGGCCCAAGTTATTTCGATAGGCTGATCACCCTTCGTGACGGAACAGGTGATTGAAACCAACTCACCCCAGCTGGCCGGTTCATCCCCGAAAGCGAAAGGCAGTATTTGCGGGGCAACTGGAAAGAGCGACTGGGAGAAACGGGGCAAGAAAGAGTAACTGTCGATTCGCGATATTTCAAGAATACTCTAATCGTAACTCGGAGGCATTTTTCGCATCTCGATTCAGACAACGTGAATCAGTAAATAAGGTTGGTATGGCGGTGGAATATATATCGTCGAGAGATTTTTCGGCAAGGATGATGGAATATTCGATAGATGGAGATATTTGAGGCGTGTGACAATAATTATGTACAAATCTATTGTATATAGCGGGAACACCGTGCAACGGGGATTAAAATCGTACCGTTAACGGTCAAAGTTGTCGATCGACTGACAGAACCGGCCAAATTTGACGCGGAGCAGGCGTATTCTCCGGCGTGTCGCGCCGAGACGCCGTCAATGCTGAGGGTGCTCAAGTGCTTGCTGATTTTGGTGATTGTGATACCCGTATCTTTCGACGTGTCGATCGGTACACCGTTAAACGCCCACGATATATCCATGGGCATGTCGCCCTTCAGGATCGAGCAGGGCACGGACACGGAATCTCCCCAATTAGCGATTTCGGCATTGAAAGCAATGGGTAGAAGCTGCGGCCCGACTAGAGGTGTCATCAAACAAATGCTTCATTCGCAGCAGCCTCTGTGAAATCGTGGATCGCTTCGTCGTATAGTCGCGTTAAAGCTTTCGATGGATTCGAACGGACGGAGGAGTCAATTAACATTCACGCAGAGAGGAGAGGGGGACGAGCATGACAAACGAGAGGAAATAACTATAATGCTGTTTGCAAGGTTTGTGCAAGGATGAGATAAAAAGGTGACAAAACGCAACTGAAGAATAAAAAAGACTGTGTTCTCTAGGAACAGAATCGTAGTCCCGAACCATTGACGGTGAGGATGGTCGAGTGGGACGCCGTTCCAGCCGCGTTTTCGGCGGTACAAACATATTCCCCCGCGTGTCTCGCGGTGATGACCGAGATCATGAGCATGCTAACGCGATCCGCGACCTTCTTCGCGATTACGCCGGAGGAACCGCCCATCTCTTCTCCGGGATAGCTCCAATGTATGTTTAACGGCAGGTCGCCGATCGGCACGATACACTGCAGATTCGCAAACTCCCCGGCGTTCATCGGTAGCTTCGTGAACGCAAACTCCTGAACGATGGGCGGCACTGAGGATGGTGGAGCGATGTATGGATGTATACGATTAGATCGCGTAATTGTCGCCTGTATACCCGTATATGCGCCCACGCCATGCTCGTGGATATCATAGACATGTTACATTATACTTGGAAATATTTCTGTGCAATTTTCATATTAAAAAAATACTTTTTAATATAATTTTTTTCTTTAATTAACAAAGAATTAAAGTTTGAATTAAATTGAGAATTAAATTCATCCTAGATATATAAACATAATTTTGCACAAAAAATCTAATTTCATAAATGCGAAAGATATTTATTTGTCTGATCGAGAAACTATGTCTATTAACATACACGAATGCATGACACTTGTTATTGCACAAGACCGACGTACGATGGAAGAAGAAATCTCATTTAAGCGCGTCAGAATTCTTACTAACGATTCACAATCGGCCACCGCCATACCAACTCCCATAACTTTCCAGAAATGCGTGTCCTCTACATGAGTCGACGTACGTTCGCTCTACGTTATTAAGTAATTATAACGATGGCAACGAAATCGTCCGTGTCCGAGTCCGTGCCCGTGTCCTATGTACAGTCGCATCCTTTAGAATTTATGATTCGTTTCGTACACGCGCGAATGACACTCTTAAAAAAAAAAAAAAAAAAAACAATGTGCCGACACCTTCGGCATGGTATTACGTTCAGTATAGGGCAATGCGACATAAAGTTTAATAGCGGCTGTAACAGACACGACAATCTGTTGCAAGGAGAATAGCTGCAAATAAAATATTTACTATTCTAACATTATCATAATTATCTCGTCGATTAGTCAGCTGTTCGGCCGATGGCTGCAAATGTAAATATATTTTCCTTTTTCGACATTATTAAAAGACCCGTTACTTTGGCAAAGAATTATCATAAATATATCATAAAAACAAATGATTTTGAGTATATGTGTTACTTGTGCTAAAAGTAATTAAGATTATTATTAAACGAAAGTAAACTTTTGATTTTAATATTGTATTATACGTTCAATTTTTTATCTAATAAGTTTTATGTCAAAAAATTCAATTCTATTAAATATGAAAAATTATTTAACTTTTTTAACTTGATGCGATCAAATTTTGTAACTCTTCGAATAAAAGTCAATATTTGTCATAACATTTATGAAGTATCAATATTACGCGATCAATTTTGTTACGAAATATCGACCACGCAAAAAAAATATAAGAAAATATAAAGATTCAAACTTACCCATAACTTGAACTTCCAGAGTTCCACGTGCACTGTAACCCTGTGCGTTGCGTGCTACGCAAGTGTAGGTCGCCTGATCGCTCATTCGTTCAACATTCTCGATGATAAGAGTGCCATTAGGAAAGACCTTTTGCTTTCTATTGATCGGCAGAACTCTGGTGTCTCGTTCCCAAACGATGCTTTCGATCGGATATCCAGCAACAGGACAGGTGACGCGCAGAGTTTCTCCAGCAACGATAGCCTTCTTGTCCATGTGGCGAATGAACGGCAAACCATATACGTTGAGACGTGCAGAGTGCTCGGCAGCTCCAACCTATAACAATATTATGCATATTGAACATTTTACTTAGAACGTACTTAAAAGACATATTAAAATTATTTAAAAAATTTTACGATATATTATATATAAAAATAAATTAAATTAAAATTTTTTTAATTTGTTAATAATTGATTATATTTACAATAGGGGTAGACAATTTAAATTTTAATATAAGTTTTTATCAACAAAATATTGTAAAGAAGAAGAATCACCAACCTTTGATGCAGCAATACACTTGTACAGTCCACCATCATTGGTATGAATGCTCGAAATATTCAGATGCGACACGACATCACCATTGACAGTGACGTATTGTCCCACTTGCAGTCTCTCGGTGTTCGACAACCGTTTTCCATCAAGTTCCCAGGTAATTTCGGGGGTGGGATTCCCGCTGGCAACACACTTCAAAAACATGCTCGGTCCGGGCTGAAGAGTCTCTTCTGCAAAGGCTTGACGAATCTGGGGAGGCTCGACTGTCGATAATCAAAGAGATAGGAGAATAATTCCGTTGACACACACACACACACACACACACACACACACACACACACACACACAATCATTATATTATCTTTTATATTTGCTCGGTCAATTTTCTTAATTGGCAATTTAATATATGTATAATTACAAGCGTATTATATCAAAGAAAATTCTCTATCAATTCATGAAAATCTTTTATTTTACAAACAAAATTGATTTTAATTTTTAATTAAATTAATTATAATGTCAATTTTGTACATAAATAATTTGATTACAAATTCGGAGAATTATGATATATATAAGAGAGTTTAACTCACATCTTCCGCCAAGTTTCAGTTCTGCTGTTGCTTGCGCGCTTTCCTGATCATTTCTAACAAAGCATTGATACATTCCCTTATCCTCCTTCTTCACGCTCTCGATTCTCAGCACGCGATCTTCCAATCCAAGGGGCTTTCCATCCTTGAGCCAGGAGATGGTCTTGATCGGGTTGCCTTGGACGGTGCAGGTGAAGGTCGCGGGTCTTCCAAAATCGATGGTCTGCGTGCTCGGTTCGATCTCCGCGTTCAACGGTGCCGTAACAGTCAAAACAGTCTCCACGCTTTCGCCGCCGACGGAATTGTTGACGATGCAGAGATATTTACCGGAATCTTCGACTCGCGCTTCACGGATGATCAGAGTGCCGCTAACCTGACGTACGCGCTCATTCAGCTGGACCGGCTGACGTCTCGACGTGCCCTCCATGAATTTGTACCATCTGAAACAAAAGGATAAAAACTTGCCGATTTTTGCGCTAACGCCGGAACGAGAGTCGTTCGTTCCGTACTTCTATTATTTTCGCTTATCATTCTAAATCCAAATTTAGATCGCAAAATGGAACAAGCACATTAACATAAAAGCTAATTTTAATAAAAGTTATGTCGTTTTATTTATATAAATTTATATAAATTTATATAAATTCTTTTTTATACATTTATATATACATCTATTAAATTACTATTTTATTATATGTTTAAAAGATTCTTTTTCCATTAAAAAACTCTACTTATTTCGTGCATATAATTTTATCATGTAATATACCACTAATGAAACTCTAATTGGATAAGAATGAATGATAAATGTTGCAATTTTGGCGAATTATATGCTCCATTTTACGCTGTTATGCCTTATTTTATATGCGGGGCTTTGGGCGTCTCTGGGCACGGCCTTTTGTTTCTTTCACCGATCTATCGGTATTATATGTCTCACGTGAGATAATTTCGTACAAGAACAAAACCACATAATTTAACAATAAAACAAGACATCTCTACTGTAACCTTACACGATCGAGAAGCGATGCAGGCGGGGCGCAACAGAAGAACAAAGATTGGCGGCGACGATAGATGATTAAAAGCAAGAAAAAAGAAATATATAAAAGGATATTCGCGTGTCTTCTCGCGAAAATCCCTGAAGGAGAAGGTGAAAGGCGATTGCAGCGTGAAAGCAAGTACGAACGGCTCTACTTGATTCTTCATGATATGCGATTATTCGCAACGACGCTGACTAGACTAAGACAGGGACAGCGGAAAAAAGAAACGTCTAAAATAAAATCCAGAACACAAAATAACGTAACCAAAGATTTCAGTAGCGGTCTTTTGACATGGCTATTGGACGCAAGTGCTAGTGCAGGGTCACTTTCGTAATTTTCCAGGCAACAATATCTCACATAAAGACGTTGCAATATAAAATCATCTGAAAATTCTTTCTCTGGCATTGATTAATCGATTTCAGAATCGTGAACACGTGACTATTAACTGAGATTACGAGATATTGTCGAATATAATCACAAGTGATGGAAGACGGTCGGGTAGGAAGCATAAGTGATGGTGGTGTTGGTGAACTGGCGGTACGTTTAATAGCGATAGTGCAACTGGACAATGTGAAAAAACGTTAAGGCTCGATCCTCGTCTCGTGAACGATCTGCTTCTCTTTATCTTTTCTTGTGAACGAACGGGAGAGAGAGGTCGGGGAATTATGAATTAAAACACGAGCGGATGAACGGAGGCACGAGAAGGTGGCGAGGACTTACCAGCCAGATATTGTGGGACTTATTTGGAGGTGTGCAGGTGTAGGGCAACATTGACCGGCCCATTGATCGGGTGACACCCTCTCGGACCACCCTGATCAGCATCGAGGATGCCGGGGGAGCAGAGGGCCCGCATCCTTTTCGAGGTCGCGCATCCACATATCTCAAGGGTTGAGCCGAGGGGGTAGGATCCAGTTGGCACTGAAAACCAACACGTCCAATTGGCCCCGAATCAGGAATATATATTTCGTCGTTTAATCGCTATTGCTCTTGTGACTCGTGTAAAATATCGCGTAGTTACTTTCGGAATTGAAAGCCTGTCGAGATCATTGAATCGTCGCACAAAAATCGAGAACATCAGCTTTTTTTCTGTTGATTTCCACCACTAAGCTCTGTTCTATTATAATTCAGCTCTCTCTCGTTCTCTTCTTATCTCTTTGCTTTTATCTATGTTCTCTACATTTTTCTCTCACATTTTACACCGAATTTTAAGGATAGTTTTATATTTCCTGCCTTAAAAAAATACTGGCTCTTTCATAATATACCTCTATCTTTTTATTCAGAAGACATATCGTTCTTTTTTTGCCCCTGTCGTATCTTACGGTACCGCCACCCGACACGGGGTAGAGGGTAAGGATAAAAAATATCAAAAGTGAATACACAGGATCTGTGCCCCGCGGAGCGTGAGACTACGTCCAAATTAAGGAGAACTGAAATCTATCTATGAAGGTGTGTACCTAGTTATCGGGGCAGGAAAGCCTTGTGCCGCACACGCCAGCGCCAGAGACTCGCCCTCTACCCCGCGGTACTTATTAAGACCGTCTCCAGTCGTCTTCGGGGCAGTACGACCAGACGGCTCTGAAATAAATAGATTGCCCAAAGTGAGAGCTTCGTCTCCTTGTAACGTTTCAAATCCGTTCTATTTCTTGATTCCATCCCGGAAACGATGCATGAAGAAGAATGCGAGTTGGAGAATCCGAGCGATTAACAAGTTTAATTATACGTACCCGATATGCCATTGTGCTGACCTGGCTTGATTCAATAGAATCGTCACATGCAATTTACTTACCTCACTACGATATCAGATTGAGCATATTAGAGAGCGTATATAATACAAGTTTACATCTGATATTTTTGTTACATATCTGAGAATAATATATCTCAACAATTTTTCAGAATTTATTTTTATATACTGCATATGATATGACATAAATGTTAGACAAAAAATATAAATGTAAACTTATTATATTATAGACCGAATAGATTATTTAATTTCACTCGTGATAGTAAAATTTTGAGCACAGAATTTATATTATTTCTTTGTTGTGTCCATTTATAATTTAATTTCTATCATTCATCAAAAAAAATTTTCACATATATGAATATTCAATATTATGGACTTGCTATAGTTTTATTCCACCCATAGATAACGACGATGAAAAATAGAGGAAAGATGAAAACGGTTAAGAAGGAAGGATTGGTACAAAGTCTACCTTGTGATAGGTACAGGGTATCCCTGAAGGGAATGGCTCAACGCGATGTCCTGATTTCTAGCAGTCAAAACAACTTCCCATCCCTCAAATTTCTTCCCCGATGATCGCGGCGCGATCTTACTTGTACCCTCTGAAATCGGATTATATAAAATCGTAAAAAAAAAAAAAAAAAATATATAGAAGGTTTTCGACAATCTTTGCCGATATACCTTGTTAATGGGACAGGAAAACCCTGAGTCGCGCAATCCAAGGCCGCCATATTCGTTTTTAGTACATCTATTAGTTTGCCACCCTCGTAACGCTCACCAGCAATGCGTGGCTTGACATTGCCAGTCGGTTCTGTAAATAGGGTCGATGCAAAATACGAGCTAGCATAATAAAAGACTTTGTTCTAATACGTTATATGCCATTAAAACTCTCTTTGCTTTTTTAATTTAATAATGTAAAAATAGCTTTAAACATAAAACAAGGAAATATACATCTAAAGATTAACTTGGAAATCTTTCTTTCAAAATCTTTTTTTTTTTAGGTAATTGTATATTATAATTTAATATCAATTATTTATAATAACGATAATTTAATAACTATATACATTATGTATTCTAAGTCAGATAATTTTATTTCGCATCACGTTTAATCAATCGACCCATAAATATCTATACCTGAATGCAAGCGCTGGGAAACCCTGAACAGGACATGGTAGACCGACCATTCTTTCGACTAGGATGTTTCTCCTTAATCCGTTTACATCTTTGTCTCGTACGTTTGGACGTACGCTGCCTCGCGGTTCTGCAATAGCGCAAATAATGGAAAAATAGGAAACGCAACGCTTTCTTCATCGTCGTCATCATTTTCGAGCTTTTCCATTGATGCACGATACGCAAAACGCGGATATCGCAAAATGTGAAGATAACGATTGATTATCGATTGATCATGATCGAGTAATTTTATCTTTAAAAAATTTCATATCCAATTTTATTAAAGTAGATTATTCGATAGTTAAATTGCTAGACTTTGCTCACCTAAACAAAGGCGATGGACTGGCTTGAGCATCGCAGAGCAATGTTACTGCTTGACCTTCGATTTTCATCATTCCATCAAATTTGGATCTAGGCGGCAATCGAGGCGGACTACTTCCAACCGGTTCTAAAAACGAAAAGGGTGAGAGATTCACCACCTAACAAGAAATCAATCGATATCTTCACATAATCTGCTTCAATCCAGAGTGATTGGCAAGATGCACTTTTTGTCTCGATAAAAGCAAATCTCAGTATTTCCCGATGTTTAAAAAGATTAATTAAATTAATAATGTTCAAAGATTAAGAGTTCATAATAGTTCCTTCTTGAAAATAGGAGAATTTTGTGTAAAAAATTCTTTTTATACATGAGAAAATATAGTAAATGTAAATATTTTATTTAGAACTATTTAATATTTATTAATTAATTACTTTTTATTTCAAAAAAGTTTCTATCAACGACCAATCTTTGCATCGAATCTACACATACCTGAAGACAGGAAGTGGATTTGCTTGAGCCTGACACAACATCGCCATGGCAGATTGCGACGCGATCGAGAAGACAATTATTTTAGCTGTCGGTGGCACTTTCGGTGCTGCACCATTTACTGGCTCTACATACACAAACAATAATGCGATGAATTGATTCTAAATATTTTACGTTGACATGTATTCCCTAAACGAGCAAAGGTTTCCCCAAGAAAAAAATACTATATTGAAGACTATATCTTTATTCAAGGATCACATACAATTGATGAAATAAAAAAGATTCATCGCCAATAATACTCAGCATTAATAATCGTAAATACCTATAAGTTGGAAGAGGGTGTCCCTGCGCAGGGCACAGCATTGTTACAGCTGCTCCAACGACATTCGCGAGAACATCATATTTAGAGGTGGAAGCGACTCTAGGTTTGGCACCATTTATCGGTTCTACAGAACGGTAACGTCATGGAAACTACATTGTATCGAATAAATTAAGAATATCGATAGACTGACCTAAATGCAGGAGCAGGGAATGCCTGTGCATCACACAATAAACTGATTTCGTCATCTTTTGCTATTTCGAAAGAATTGGACTTTGCCATTTTCGGGAATTTTGGGGCCACACGACCTGCTGGTTCTAACACGTTTAAACAAAATCTATTATTTAAAATAATACATTCGTATCATTTAAAATGCGCCACCGCCGATATATACTTTTTACAAAAATAAAAATGTATATAGTATATGTATAATAATTTATTAAAACTGAATTAAAAGAATAAGAGATGATAATTAAATATATTGATGGACTGACCTAAATGCGGGAGCAGGGAATGCCTGTGCATCGCACAATAAACTTATCACATCACCGTTCGCCACTTCAAAAGAATCGGATTTTGCCGATTTCGGGAATTTTGGGGACACACGACCTGCTGGCTCTAACCAGTAGAAATAAAATTTGTTATTTCTCTTAAAATGATATATTTGCGTAAGGACAGAACGCGCCACCGCCGTATTATATTTTTTGATTAATTCATTTATCAAAAATAAATTAAAATAAATATTGCATACGTGAAGGAATGTAAATATAATAAAAAAGTGCTCCTAATAATTTTTTGAAAAAAAGAAATAGAAAATTAAAAGATCATAAATTATACAAATAAAATATATAAAAAAATGTTAATTATTGACAATAGTTCAAGAACATAAAACAATACATTGCGTAACGTTTTTTAGTTAGATTGCAACTTCTATTAGATAAACTTTAAATTATGCAATTCATGTTCAGCTCGTTAACAGCGTTACCTGTGAGTCGGAGGTGGCGATGCTTGAGCGGCACAAGTTAGCGCGAGCGATGATTTCGCGTTTCTTACGTAAGTGCTACTTTTCGCGTCGCTCTGAAAGGCGGGCACCTTCGATCCCACGGGCTCTGGAGCGAAATGAAAAAGGATGCTCTCTCTGAATCCTCTGAGAATTCTTCATTCTCTTAATTACCTGAACGACGGCACGGGGAACCCCTGCGCAGGACATTGCAAACTTGATGCGTTTCCTGCAGCGCGTATAAACGAGTGGACGCGATCATCGCTCGAGAATTTCGGTCCTTTCGCTCCCATCGGTTCTAGCAATACAAAAATCGTATGCCAAAATACGAATTTTATTGAAGAAAAGAAAACAAATTGCCGCGAAAAATTCGCGTTTTTCATTCACATGAAAATAAAGCTCTCGATAAAAGTAAAACAAGCCTTGATAGCCTTTTACAACCATTCTGTCAGTACCATAAATTCCTATTAATGACGCACAAATTGGCGATCGATAAAGGGCGCAGAAAACGCTCTACCTGAACGATGGTACTGGGTGACCCTGCGCTTGGCACTGCATCGCGAATCCAGTCGTTGATTTAGTCTGCAGCCATCGTTTCGCGTCACCCGTGACGGAAGGTGCCTTACTACCTATCGGTTCTTTACGCAAGAAAACATTTCAGATATCTTAGAGAACGTGATGTCTTAGAAAAATAAAAAAATTATTTTCTAAGATATCTCAATTCATTCCCGATTAAATAATATTATTATTTATGCAATTGAGAAAAATTGCTTCAATCGATTACATAATTCGCTCACATTTAATTTACCTGAATGTTGGCACAGGGTAAGCTTGCCCTTGGCACAAAATTACGATGTGTGTGGCGGTGCGCCTTTCCATCAAACTGCCTTTTTCTCCCAAAATCGAGGGCGCTTTAGTACCGACCGGTTCTAGCGATGCATAATAAATTTTAATCGCTCGAGAATGGATCGCGTAAAAATAGCGTTACCTAAAACTGGGCACAGGGTGACCCTGAGCCGGGCATGTCAGCACAATGTCGGATCTCGAGATCATCTCTTTCCATCCGCGTTTCATTTCGCCGATCAACGCCGGTGCTTTACTTCCGATCGGTTCTGATGATACGTAAAACGAATGTTTCAAACATAATATCACGCGGAATGCAATTTATACACCGTTTACATTTATCGAAACTATTAACACATATCTCGGTATTGTTAATACATACAAGAATTTCTTTAAATTGTTAATTCATAAAAAAGGATTACATTATATGTATATTTTTTAAATTGACTATAAAAAGTATTTATTTAAAAATTTATATCTAAAAAAATTTTATCGTTAATAAAATATTAAAAAAAAAAAAGAAATTTGTGACAAAATTTCTCGAGATATATATTTACATGATTACAAACTATATAAATTGTCGTCGGGACTTTAAAGGAATGATTCGAAGTGAAAAAGTATACGTTGCATAAATTTGTACGTCCTAAAAAAATCACACTGTATATAGTATATGTATAATAATTTATTAAAACTGAATTAAAAGAATAAGAGATGATAATTAAATATATTGATGGACTGACCTAAATGCGGGAGCAGGGAATGCCTGTGCATCGCACAATAAACTTATCACATCACCGTTCGCCACTTCAAAAGAATCGGATTTTGCCGATTTCGGGAATTTTGGGGACACACGACCTGCTGGCTCTAACCAGTAGAAATAAAATTTGTTATTTCTCTTAAAATGATATATTTGCGTAAGGACAGAACGCGCCACCGCCGTATTATATTTTTTGATTAATTCATTTATCAAAAATAAATTAAAATAAATATTGCATACGTGAAGGAATGTAAATATAATAAAAAAGTGCTCCTAATAATTTTTTGAAAAAAAGAAATAGAAAATTAAAAGATCATAAATTATACAAATAAAATATATAAAAAAATGTTAATTATTGACAATAGTTCAAGAACATAAAACAATACATTGCGTAACGTTTTTTAGTTAGATTGCAACTTCTATTAGATAAACTTTAAATTATGCAATTCATGTTCAGCTCGTTAACAGCGTTACCTGTGAGTCGGAGGTGGCGATGCTTGAGCGGCACAAGTTAGCGCGAGCGATGATTTCGCGTTTCTTACGTAAGTGCTACTTTTCGCGTCGCTCTGAAAGGCGGGCACCTTCGATCCCACGGGCTCTGGAGCGAAATGAAAAAGGATGCTCTCTCTGAATCCTCTGAGAATTCTTCATTCTCTTAATTACCTGAACGACGGCACGGGGAACCCCTGCGCAGGACATTGCAAACTTGATGCGTTTCCTGCAGCGCGTATAAACGAGTGGACGCGATCATCGCTCGAGAATTTCGGTCCTTTCGCTCCCATCGGTTCTAGCAATACAAAAATCGTATGCCAAAATACGAATTTTATTGAAGAAAAGAAAACAAATTGCCGCGAAAAATTCGCGTTTTTCATTCACATGAAAATAAAGCTCTCGATAAAAGTAAAACAAGCCTTGATAGCCTTTTACAACCATTCTGTCAGTACCATAAATTCCTATTAATGACGCACAAATTGGCGATCGATAAAGGGCGCAGAAAACGCTCTACCTGAACGATGGTACTGGGTGACCCTGCGCTTGGCACTGCATCGCGAATCCAGTCGTTGATTTAGTCTGCAGCCATCGTTTCGCGTCACCCGTGACGGAAGGTGCCTTACTACCTATCGGTTCTTTACGCAAGAAAACATTTCAGATATCTTAGAGAACGTGATGTCTTAGAAAAATAAAAAAATTATTTTCTAAGATATCTCAATTCATTCCCGATTAAATAATATTATTATTTATGCAATTGAGAAAAATTGCTTCAATCGATTACATAATTCGCTCACATTTAATTTACCTGAATGTTGGCACAGGGTAAGCTTGCCCTTGGCACAAAATTACGATGTGTGTGGCGGTGCGCCTTTCCATCAAACTGCCTTTTTCTCCCAAAATCGAGGGCGCTTTAGTACCGACCGGTTCTAGCGATGCATAATAAATTTTAATCGCTCGAGAATGGATCGCGTAAAAATAGCGTTACCTAAAACTGGGCACAGGGTGACCCTGAGCCGGGCATGTCAGCACAATGTCGGATCTCGAGATCATCTCTTTCCATCCGCGTTTCATTTCGCCGATCAACGCCGGTGCTTTACTTCCGATCGGTTCTGATGATACGTAAAACGAATGTTTCAAACATAATATCACGCGGAATGCAATTTATACACCGTTTACATTTATCGAAACTATTAACACATATCTCGGTATTGTTAATACATACAAGAATTTCTTTAAATTGTTAATTCATAAAAAAGGATTACATTATATGTATATTTTTTAAATTGACTATAAAAAGTATTTATTTAAAAATTTATATCTAAAAAAATTTTATCGTTAATAAAATATTAAAAAAAAAAAAGAAATTTGTGACAAAATTTCTCGAGATATATATTTACATGATTACAAACTATATAAATTGTCGTCGGGACTTTAAAGGAATGATTCGAAGTGAAAAAGTATACGTTGCATAAATTTGTACGTCCTAAAAAAAATCACACGTTTATATCTACGAATTAAAAAAGTTTACCTAAAACTGGGCACAGGGTGGCCCTGCGCCGGGCAGAATAACACGACCACGAAGCCTGACTTTCTCTGCTTCCATCCACCCTTCAAGTCGCCCGTCAATGCCGGCGCTTTACTGCCGACCGGTTCTGGCGGTACAGAAGCCATCGCGAAAGCAAAAAAAAAATGGAACGGCACACGTGTTCATTAAATGCGGCAACTTTACCTAAAGGAAGGTACAGGATATCCCTGCGCCGGACACGGCAGCACGGCACTGAAGCTCGCTCTTTTCCTCAGCCATCCCCCTTTTATCTCGTTCGTGAGAGCCGGGGCTTTAGTTCCAATCGGCTCTAACGATTACCCACGTATATACGATCAAACAATTCAAATTTCGTAAAATTTTTAATTGTACATACTACTCAAGCGCGATTAATTCTTATTGCGCCTATTCACGAACATTAAATTGAAGCAAAAAATATAAGAATAGTAAAATAAAAAATAAACTGTCCATTTTACATTGATATAAATCTCGCTAGAGATTATATTTTGTATCTCTAATCTTTATATATCTTCCTACGTTACTCATTACCTAAAAGAAGGTACAGGATATCCCTGCGCTGGGCACGATAACACGGCGTTGAAGCCCGCTCTTTTCTTCAACCATCCCGCTCTTAACTCGCTGAGAGTCGGGGATTTAGTTCCAATGGGCTCTGACGATTATAAACGTGCATGATAAACCAAATTTTTTTAAATTAATTGTATTTGCAATATTTAACCCTGATTAATTTTTTATCTGAATTCAATGAAAAATTAATATCCGCGTTTATTATCATAGACGACAAATTGAAACAAATCTAAAAAAGTTAAAAGTAATAAAATAAAAAGTAAACAATTTTTATTTTAAATTGCAAATCTTGCAAAACCTAAAATAAAGTTCAGCTAAATAAAAATTCTAAAATACTTGGAAATAAATGCTTCTATCGAATCTAATTATGTTTTTACGTGTTATGTTATTACCTAAAAGAGGGTACAGGATACCCTTGCGCTGGACAAAACAATACGACAGCGGATCCAGCTCCGATCTCCATCAATACGCCCTTCACAATGCCGGTTACCGCTGGCGCTTTGCTTCCGACTGGTTCTAATCATTTATGCAACAAGTGCTCAGCAATCTGATATTTTTACTTAACGCGAACGCTTATATGTGGCGTACGCTTACGTGTGTTTTTATGTAACCTTTCTGATGGAACAAGAGACCCCTTCATTGGCAAGAAACGGAGCAGAAAATCGGCGCGCAGAGATAAAATGTGAAACAAAGAAGCAATAACTTGAGCTTGATTTGAACATAATCGCTCATTACACATAATCGATCTTTTAGTTATATGTAGCTAAACGCACATATTTTTTTGTATAAAATATATGAAAGCTTTACCTAAAGGAAGGCACAGGATATCCCTGTGCTGGACACGGTAATACAACATTAGATGCTGTTGTTTTTTCCATCCATACACCTTTTACGTCGCCTGTCAATGCCGGCGCTTTGCTGCCCACGGGCTCTAATGTATAAATTATAAATGAACATGCGATAAACAATAGCAAAATTATCATTTGTTTTACAGGGACAGGGGACCCTTGTTCGATTAACAGAGTAATACGAAAACAATAGAAGCAAATCACGCGTAATCCATATTAATTTTAGAATAATTAATGAAATAATAATGTATACAAGATTAAAAAGTCAAAATGCATGTGCACATGTATTTAAATTATGCTATTAATCGAAATTAAAATTATTAAAAATTAAAATTAAAAGCTTAAGAAAAGAATTTAAAAGTCATATATAGAGAAGAATTTACCTAAACGAAGGTACTGGATAACCCTGCGCAGGACAAAATTGTACGATATTGGAAGTAGCTTTGCTCTGCATAAAACCTCCTTTTAAAATGCCCGTCAATGTCGGCGCTTTGCTTCCGACTGGCTCTAACAATTTATAGACAGACACGAGAGCATGCTATGAGAATCATCTATTACTTCGTTTACGTCTTTAATAAGTTGTAATGTGCATGTATACCTATACGTTGGAACTGGGAACCCCTGCGCGGGACAAAATAGAGTCAGATCATCCCCTTGAACGCGATGATACCACGCTAGTTTTGCATCGTTAGAGAACTTCGGCTTCTTCGTAGCAACCGGTTCTAATTACA